TTCTGTTAATTCTGTTTAATGCTTTGAGTCAGTGTTTTTAATTTAAACCCAAGATCGTTTTGTTGTTTTAAAGCTCTTGCAGCGCCTCCTAACAGACAGGAGACGAAGCATGGACTTGATGATGCTGGAAGGCCCCCGGTTAGTCGAAGCCCACCCAGGAGAGGAGGAAGAGCAGACAAAGGTCAAGCTCTCCACTCTGAAACAGAAGTGGGAGGCCTTACAGCTGGGGGCAGAGAAAAGGTCAGACATTTTGGTTTATTTTATTCCAACAAGGCTCGCTGCATAGCTCAGCATAAACCTTTCTGATTAATACTTGACTTTGGTAGGAGAGCACATCTGGAGCTGATTCTGCCCCGAGCTCAGCAGCTCCAGGATGAAGCAGACACATTTCAGCAGTGGCTTATGTCGATCGAACAGACGCTAGCTGAACTACGAAATGCAGAGCGAGTGATGCTGCACCTCGCAGACGCCACAGAACGAGCCAAGGTTAGAAATCTATCAGATATGCTGATTAACCACAACATTATGACCAGAGTGGATTCGTTTGAGTCACCCTATTGCCTCTGAAGCAACTCAGAACATCTGAACATTTAGGACAAGAACATTTGGACTCGTCCAACTTTGATGTACATTAGAAATTTGTGAACTGGTGTTTGGTATACGACTTCCATGTGTAAAGATGTGATTTGATCAACAATAGTGTTTAGGTGGATAACAGAGTGTAAAAGTGTCCATGTGAAATTCTTTATGATTTTTACAGCAGAGGTTGTAATGTGGTTACTCAAATGTGTCTGACTCCGAATGTTATGCAGATTTGTGTTTGATTTTAATTAATTAACAATAAATGTTGTTTCAATAGAAAGTATAATTAATTTTTTTTTTTTTCTTTTAGGCTGTTGTTGATGAGATTCAAGCCCAAACTGGTGAACTGGGAAAAATACAGACATCAGGCCTTAATTTAATGGAAGAAGTTTCAGGTAATGTGTACTAGATTGTTCTGAATGTAGAACAGACTCATTCACTGTAAATGTCCAGTAATTCATCCTGTAGTATTTATATAATGTAATTTATACAAATCCCTGTGAAAATCATCTAAATTGCTGATTCTCAGCAAATATCAGGCTGTACTTGTAAATTGTGAGAAGAAAATGTAGCTGTGCATTCCCTAAAACCAGTAAATCTTCACTTTTGCCCTGAATATTAGTAAACTAGCACATTATTATTCTTTAGCTGTGAGTTGTGATTTAATCTTCGTTTTAGTGGAGGAGGCGCAGCAGGTACAGGAGAAGATGGATGTTCTGCGTATTCGTTGCTCTGTGCTCAGTCTGAGCAGTCTGGATGTGCTGCAGAGGCTGGAGCAGGCCCTGGAAGCCTCCAGCCGCTGCACCTCCAGCCAGGAGGACCTCCACTTGTGGCTGGGACGCATCGAGAGGGAGCTCCTGGGAGCAGCAGGAGCGCAGACACATTCAGGGGATGCAGTACTTTGTGAAGCTGAGAAACAGAGGGTAACGTTTCACACAACACACTAAAATCAAGACAGGAACGCCCACGTCTGATCCATATGTTGCTACAAGTAAAAAAATCTAAAGTCATACAGATTGTCCTAATTGGTGGAAATAGTTCCACCTGTGTTTTTTCATATATGGTTTATAAAATGTATTAAATGACATTTGAGACAAAAAAGCAGTAGATGTTAAATATAATTTTAGGCAAATGTGTTATTTATTTGTTCTGTTTGCGTTTCAATCATATTTTTAACTAAATATTTGTTTTTTATTGTCTTTTATTATAACTTACAAGCTAAGCATTTGTTTTTTAATCATGAAATAGCATTTTTTTGTATGTATGGTAATATGCGTTGCAATAACATTACAAGTAGATAACTGTTTTGACCTGAGTTTCTGTTAAACATTATCTTATTATCATTTTATGTTCTTAACAAAAGGTTTTGTGATATGCTAACATCTGTGTGGTATCAGCTGGAACAGGCTGTGGTGAAAGAGATGGCTTGGTTCAGAGACACAGCGCTCAGTCTTGAGAAGCTGAAAACCATTAACCTGGATCCAGAGGTCATAGCTGAACAACTCTATGAACAGAAGGTCAGAACAATATATAAATAAATTCAAGTACTCATACCTAACAATATAGAACTTTGTAAAATCATGAAACTTACATTTAGATTGTTAAAATAATTTGAAGTTGTTTCTTGTGGACAGATTTTAGCAGTAGAGATTCTTCAACACAAGTTCAACATTGAGAAAATGGCAAAGATTGCTGAAATCTTAAAAACTTACAGTGATGAGGGAGAAGCTGGGGATTTTCAGGTACATTTGCAACTTATTTCATAACAGGTTTTTTTTTTTTTCCTTTTGAGTGTGATCAATTAAATGTTCAGTTGTGTGGTCACATTTTTATTCAGACTCCAGTAGAGGCCTTACAGGAACAGTGCAACGCCACCTCAGCCACCAATGCCCATGTAGTCCTGCAGCTTGAGCATGCCCAGTCACTTCTTGGCCAGTTCTCTGAATGTCTTGCTGAGATTTCTCCTTGGCTAGAGGACACTCAGGCTCTCATTGGCCACCTCACCCTGAGCACAATTAGCTATGAGGCATTTCGGGAACAACAGGACCTCCTGCAGGTAAAAAAAAAAACTGCCCTCAGCTTTTTCTTTCCTTTTGTCTTGTTCAACAAAGAAGTACCTCACAGTCTGTCCCCATTTTTCTTGAGCTAAATGAGCCAGTCTGCTGTGTTCTGTAAAATAATCTACTCAATTACAAGGTAACTGTTCCACCAGTGTACTATAATAGAAGTTCTGATTTGTCAGATATGCACAATGTTGTTTTTTTTGTAACCATTATGTTCCTATACAGTAAAATTATATTCTTTCAATAAATGAGCTAGCTGAATCATTCCTCTCTTTTATGTTGCTGATTTGTCCAGGGTCTTAGAGAGTCCATAGCAGAACACCGCCCTTTGATTGCACGCTTATGTGCTATAGCAAAACGCTTGTCAGAACTAAACTCGGATCAGGGAAACCAGTTCTGTCAAAAGGCAACAGAGGCCGAGGAGAAGCACAAAACCATCAGAGATCGTGTCAGAGAGACTGCCAGTCTTCTAGAGGAGTCCCTGCCAAGATTTGCGCAGGTAAGAATGGGATTTGTTCAATGAAGTACTGGTACATAAATCACATTATATTTGCACAAGAAAAAGCTTAATGTCTGTTTTTGGTCCTTCAGCTGAATGAGAGGATGACTCTTATCAGAGAGAATGTTGACCGTCTACGCAGTCGCATGCAGACTCCAACCTCTCTTCAAGGTCTCACCCCAAGGATCCAGGAGCAGCTTCAAGACAACAGGCAAACCCTGGCTGAGCTCTCCAAGCTGGAGTTGGGTCTTAGCACTGTGAAAGCGCAGGCAGATGAACTGCTGGCAAACACTAAGGCAGCAGGGGATACGTCCATCGGCACAGGTGATAAGTCTTCTCCAACATTACCTCAGTACTCACAGGCCTTCACATAACAATGTCATTTACTCGACAAAGAGCCGTCTGAATAAAATCCCTGCTATATCTGTGTTCTCAGCAATTCAGGATCAAGTGACCAGTGTGTCCCTGCTGTGGGATGAGACTCACAAGGAGGTCCAGAAGAGAGAAAGCTGGTTACTGAGGGTCTTGGACCTTGCCTTGAAGTTTTGGAGCGATGTTGGTGAAATGGCATCTGTTCTCAATGATACCCAGCAGTCACTGATGGATCTCAATGCTTGTCGGACAGACGCTGAAACCATTCGCCAAAGTCTTGAAACCATGCAGGTTTGTCTTCAACCTGTTGGAAAACTTTACATTTTAAACTTGTTTTTTTTATTATTATTTGAATGCAGTGCATATTTAATTTAATCCCTTTCTAGCCTCTCAGGGAAGATATAGACAACTTTCAGGGGGATCTGGACATCCTCGGGGTTCTTGGAATGGACCTGATGTTAGCATGTGGGGATACAGACAAACCGGACGTCACAAAAAGCATGGACGAAGTAAGAAACCTTTGTTTTTATAGAATATTTTTCTCAGTCATGATGCTCTAACTAAAACCACGTTTTATACCAAAGCTTTATTGCACATGGAACAACCTAAGCAAATTTTGGAACGAATGTCACAAGAAGTTGGAGGATTCCTTGGAGATGGCTCTGCACTATCAAGACACGATGCAGGTCAGGGTTTGATCCAGAAAAGTCTTTTACTGAGTTGCCCTGCAAAGTGTTTTGCTAGTGTATATACAAATGAAATGTGAGTCCTAAACTCTTTGGTCTATAAATACATATACTGTACGCTAAAACAGTAAAAACCACATGCAACTGTAATATAATGTGAAATTAGATGGTCTAATGTAAAATCTGGCTTTTCCTTAATAACAGGGCCTGTTTGAGTGGTTAAAATCAGCAGAGCTAAGATCTACAGAGGAGTTCATGGTAGGCACTGACCTGGAATCAGTCCAGGAGCAGCTATGTGAACTCAAGGTAAGCTCATACATCAAAGTGTTTTACAGTGAGACTTACTGAAAATACAGACTTTACTCAACACAAGTAAAACTTGATTGCAATAAATATTTAGCGTTATGTAACTTTTTCTTTTTCTTTTTTTTTGTCTCAGGAATTCAAGCGGGAACTCTACCAAAAGAAGATCGAGATAGAAAGTCTGACCCATCACTTTGTGTGCCGGCTGTCTCCAGGCTCGGAGCGGCCCGGCTCGGTGTCCCCGCTGTGTGACTTCAGACAGCGCTGGGACAACCTTGAGACAGAGACTGTAAACAGACAGGTGGGAAACAGAAGCAAATACAGAGCAGTAATTATAAACTTGCACCATCTGAATACACATAACAGACACAATTTTACAACGATATCTAGTCCTTATGATTACAATCACAGTTGCCTTCAACTTTTTAATTCCCTCTCTTTATTTAGGCATCTTTATAGTCACAACTACCAATAAAACTAAACCATCTGTCAGCATTATGCATATCCATTTGTGTTTCCAGCACCAGTTGGAGTGTGCACTGCTGGGACTGGGTCAGTTCCAAAACACACTCGATGAGCTGCGCACGTGGCTTTCCCGCACAGCTGAGCAGCTGCATGGCCACCAGCCAATCAGCATCGACCTGCAGACCTGTGAAATAGAGCTAGCTAAACATAAGGTACGTGATAATCAGGCAAACATGGCGACAACGATGCAATTATATTCATATATAAATATTTGACCTGTGATGCTTCTCTTTGCTCTAAGGTGTTACGGAATGATGTCATGTCTCATGTGCGCACAGTTGAGTCCCTGAACCAGGCAGGCAAGAAGCTGCTGGAGGCCGGTTGTGGAGACGGCACACGTGGCCTGCAGTCTCAGCTGGAGGAGCTGAATGAAAGCTGGGAGTTCGTTCGCTGCGAGACTGAGCGACGGCAGCTGGAATTAGAGAACAGATTAAGTCAGGTGAAACAAACAGCTTTTGGACGTCTAATAAAATCACAGCAACACTTAGACGTTAGTGTACTTATAGCTTCCTATGTGTTCATACAATCTGTGTAAATAGGAGCAGGTATCACCTGCTGCTGGCTGCAGTTTCTGGTGGTTCTTTACATTTTATTTTATATAAATCTTTAAATAAATGTTAGTAAACAGTTGTACTATGGTAATGTTACAGGCATCACCTCATATGAAGGAACTCTTGCTTTTTTTACTATAGCTGATCAATTGTATGGTATTAAAGCATTTAAAGCACATTTTATTTTATGACAGGTGCAGGATGTTACCATGGAGATTCAGGATCTTATACAGTGGCTGGAAAACACAGACCTCAGACTGTCCTCTTCCAAAACCATGTGGGGCATGCCTGATTCTGCAAGTGAACGCCTCAACACACACTTGGTATCAATTATTTGTCTTTGAAATACAAAACACAAAATACTGTCATTAAAACTAGCATTTTTTAAGGGATATTCATTATTTGCCAACTTTCTCGGCTTTTCTAACCTTTAACAGGAGTTGTGCAATGAGATGGAGTCTAAGCTTCATGCCTACACGCATGTGAATAATGCTGTTCACAGGATGCTGGAGCGGAGCGACCTCGTGCGAGGGTCGTGCACGGAACACAACTTATCTATTCTTGAACAAAAATGGACATCCGTTTACAGCAAAGTTCAGGAGCGCAAAGTAAATGAACTTACCTCAGGTTAACTGTTATTTACTTTCATTATGGCTGCTGGTGTATTTTTGTAGCTCACTGAGATGTTTTGCTTGCAGGCTCAGCTGATGGAGGGGCTGAGTCTGGCTAAAGAGTTTCACAGTATTGTCCAGGAAATTCTCACAAAGATGAGCGAATGTGAAGAGTCCATCGGGCTTCTTCCTCCTCCCAGCTTTGTCCTGGACACAGTTTCCACACAGCTGCAAGAACATCGCGTAAGATTACTTTAACACCTAGTGTCGCTCTGATTCTTTTGCAAATTGTTTATTCATTAAAAATGCCATTATCCTCACAGTCTCTGGTGAATGAGGTTAATGGTTACAGCGAGAAGAAGACCACGGTGGAGAGCACGGGCCGCAGGCTGACAGAGCTGAGCAGGAAGGAAGACTGTGATGTCATCCATAACCTAATCATGACCGTTCAGGATCGATACAAAAAGCTTCAGCAGCGAGCGGCGGACAGAGGCCGGATGCTGGAGGAGGTTAAAAAGAATGTTAAACAGGTAGAGGAGTGCTTAGTTCCAACGTACAAGAATAACCTTCATGGTTGTTAAACTACACTCACACCTAAAGTGTGCCAAGTGCTGCTGAGAGGAATCATCTATCTTTATACCACCACTCTGTTTCTCATATTTCAGTTCAATGAATCCTGGCGCCTCCTTGTGGACTGGACGGCAGAGATTGAACAAACGTTAGACACACATAAAGAGATCGCTGTGTCTCATGAGGAAATAAAGCTGCAACTGGTTGAACAGAAGGTGCAACTATTTATCAGCAGAATCATTTGAACTTGTTGAGGCATTGAGTATTTTCATTGAACCCCTGTTGCTTCTTGTAATTAGGAGTTTCACAAACTGCTGAGGTTAAAGAGACCCATGTACGAAGCCACGATGAAGAACGGTCGCAGCCTCCATGAGAGAGCTAAGAGCAGCCATGACAGGCAGCATCTGGAGAACATGCTGGCTGAACTCAGAGACACGTGGGACACCATCAGCGGCAAGTCCATTGAAAGGTACAGAGGGGCAGGGCTGGACAGAGAATGTTTGTTTACAGGGGGCCAAGCTGGAGTACAGATGGGGAATGGGATAACACATGCAAATAACCCATTTAAAAGAAAAAAAGCTTTTGTTTTACAAGTTTATTGTCCCCCAGATTGAGAATTGGAGATACTCTCTATCTGTTCATTCATGCATGTTCTGAGCTTGATGATTTGAAAATTAAAAGTTACCAACTTTATGTTGGTTTCTGGCCACATCTAAGCAAAGATTCATTTTGATAATGGAGTTGCCAGGTCAAAATCCAAGATGGCTACTGCCACATATGCATGCATATTAACCTTGTTAAATGATGTATAACTTGAAAAATAAGCAACGTGCCAACTTCCAAATTGGCATGAGGCAGCATCTTAGATGAAAGAAAGTTCATTATCAAAAATTGTATTGCTACGTCTAAACCCAAGATGACCACCAACATATTTTATTGTAAGCCAGCCCCCTCCCCATCATTTAAATAAACTATGCTTTCTACTCTTAATACTGTTTAAAGGTATAATATCTTCCAATGATTAGGGTGACTGAAGATTAATCCATGGTGGCCACCCCTGTTCCTGCCCTTCTGCCTGGTGATGGATAACATTCTCCTTTTATTTGCCAGGATCTATCACTCTGCACCTCCTCTAAGCAAAGACAAAAAAAGTTACCTCTGTTCTTCGACACAGTGAAACTCCTACCCACTTAAATAACTTACACTGAAAAAATAAGGTGTACTTGTATTTTCTGTTCAATTCCAGTCCAGAAAAACGCTCATCTCAAAAACTACAAACATTCACTACTCAACTCCGTCAGCGATGGGGGATGTTTACTGCAGCTTGTCATATTTAAACTGGTCATTTAATGTAAAACAGAAAGTCAGATTTTTGGGGCGCTGTGTTCATGCACATTCAGACATTTGAAATTTACCAAAGTAAACACAATTTCAGATTACATATGTGTTGTAAAATGTCTGTTTAACATTGTGATGGCACCTGAGGGGGGATGGGGGGGCACTTTATTGGTGTGGCGCATGCCACAGATTAAACAGGACCCGTCATGTTGCAAGTGATGTTCACTCTGAGCTTTATTGATGTTTTACTTTGCAGACAGCATAAGCTGGAGGAAGCTCTGCTGTTCTCAGGGAGATTCACTGATGCTCTGCAGGCGCTGAATGACTGGCTGTACAGAGCAGAGCCCCAACTGGCTGAAGACGTTCCTGTTGGTGGAGACAAAGACACCGTCAACAATCTGATCGACAAACACAAGGTACGCACAAATTAACAAGTTCTGACACCAACTGGGCTGAACATTTGCCACAAGCCTCTTTATACAAATATTATTTATTATTTACAGTTGATCCTATTTTGGGGAAAATTAACCTGCAGCTTGTGAACATGTCTTATTGTTTCCAGGCCTTCCAGAAGGAGCTGGGGAAACGAGCCGGATGCATAAGGACCCTGAAGCGCTCTGTGAGGGACCTCACCAGAAGCAGCACGGCAGACGCCCACTGGCTGCAGGAGCAGATGGACGAACTGGGGGGGCGATGGGAGGCTGTGTGCAAACTGTCAGTCAGCAAGCAGGACAGGCTGGAGGCTGCACTCCAGCAGGTACTGCTTACACACAACACCTGTTAGCATGTACAACTATGAAGACAAAATGATGTTAGATTTGAATGTTCCAGCTTTATTACGCTTGGTCTATAACGTCTTCTGCTGAAACGTTAATGCAGCTATCTCCAACAAATGAGAAAATACATTGATTAAGTTAATGTGCACAACCACAAAAGTTCCCTGAGACAGACAAAACTCTTAACGTTCTTTGCTCTTCTCAGGCTGAGAAGTTTTACGGCCTTGTTCACTCTTTCATGGAGAGGCTCACTGAGGCAGAGAGGATCCTAAAATACGGGGTCATACCTGAAGAGGAGAACGGTTTGCGGGCCTTTGATAAACAACACAAGGTCAGTTTTACCAGAAACTGAGTGGGAAAATCCTTTTATCCCAACTTATCGCCTTCTGGGGCCGTCATAGATGTTGATAAGGAGTTGTTTAAAGATGACAACACTTAGGTGTGAGAGGCATAACTGTGACATCAAGGATTTCAGCTGGTTTGGGAAAGATAATTTGATGCAAAGAGCTGTTTGCTCGAGCCACTTCAATGAAAAAGCTCATGACACGGATGAAGTATGAGATGAAAGTGTTTTTCCACTCCCCTGTAGGAATCACTGGCTGCATTACAGACTCAAGCAGTGGAATTAGAAAACATCCAGGTTTTGGGTGAGGAGATTCTAGCCTCGTGTCACCCAGATGCCATAATAACGCTCAAATCTTGGATCAGCGTCACTAAAACCCGCTATGAGGAGGTGAGTGCCTTCATGCCAGAATAATAACAAAGAAACTTTACTTTCCCTCAAAATGTCTCAGAAATTCATTGTTAAAATCAAGTTAATTGTTACAGTCAGTGAATGTGAGAAGCAAAACTGTTTCTGAAACTAAAATGTTTGTTTCTGATCCAGGTTGAGGCCTGGGCCCAGCAGCAGAGCCAGAAGATCCAGGCCAGCTTGGCAGCGCTGGACGAAGCAAAAGAAGAAGTCCAGAGTCTGCTGGACTGGATCTCATCAGCAGAGGAAGCTCTCAACCTGAGGGATCAGGAGTCTCTGCCTGAGACCTCAGAGCAGAACCAAGAACTGATTGAGCAGCACATGGTACAGTTTATCTCTACTCTGCACTGGGAGCTACTCAAGATACAAACTCACTGAGCTGCAAATGCTTTCTAGAATCTTCACATCTTCATCTTTTTATGTGCCCGTTGAAGGCAGACATGTTACGGTATACTCTCCATCATCCGTACACCTGTGAACTTTCTCTTGTCCTGCCCGTAACTTCTGAAACATTCAAGATTATTTAATGAAAGGTCATACACATATGCATCACACAGAGTGTCACATACATGTTACATCCCCCCTCATCTAAGGTCAAGGTCGAAAATCAAGGTCAAACGTTGTACAAGGTCTTTGCATGTCTGGGCCATAGCTTCTGATCCGCTCAAGACAATTAACAAACATTTTTACACGTATGCATCATCACTAGACAGAGTCTAAAAAAGTTCAATCTGGTCCTCTGGACATTCAAAAAAACAAAACAAAGCAAAAAAA